TCAACAACGTCATACCATTGCAAAGTAAGCACCATGCTGGATTGTATAAACAAGAGTATTTTATAGAAGACACATGAAATAATTCTTCTACTCTGCTCAGCACTGGTAAAATCCTCAGGTGGTATATAAGAACCTGTTTTGAGTACCACTCTTCAAGAGGATTAATTAGAGACTCCCAAGATAGCAATAAAATGTATCAGTGGTCTTGAAAACGTGCCCTCGGAAGACAGATTTAAAGACTTGGGTTTATTTCGTCTAAAAAATGGAAGACTCAGGGGAGGCATATAACATTGTTCAAATATAACAGAGGTCATTGTAAGGAGGAATATAATAATTTGTTCTCCGTGTTTACTGGCATAGGACAAAACAATGGACTTGCAATAAAACACCTAAGATTCAGGTTGGACATTAAGGCTAAGTACAGACAGTCAAAAAGCCCAAAACTGAATTGATTCAATCTTCACAGGTTAGTCTAAGCTCCATAAATTGAACCAGTAGGCAAGTAAGCAGACAGTCACTTTTGATTCTGGAAATGCAGCCATGCCTGCACTAGCCCAGGCCAGAAGCTGGGTTGCACTAGAGCACACTTCCCTGCCTGGCTGCAGCAGACAGCTTGGGCCATGACTAGCCTGCTCACCCTCCAAAGGTGGGACAAAGCATCCTGGGATGCTGGGGGACTGTGAGTTTACTTAAATCTGGAGGAAATCTGGGGCAAAAGTTCAATAAACCAACTTAGCCTATATCAGTTAAGTCTGATTCTACATCCATTCAGGTTTATTTTAAACCGGTTTGGGCCATTTTGAAAGTCTTTAAAAGCAAGTTAGGCAGACATCTGTCAGGAATGGTTTAGATATAGTTGATCATGATTTGTTCCAGAAGGATAGGCTACAGGACCTCTCAAGGTCTATTCCAGCCCCATTTTCTATGATTCTAGTACTAAATGACTGAAGCAATAGGGATTCCCTATTTTCTTTGGAAAGCTATTTCACAATCAATTTCACCTTGCTGTTTTCTAATAGCCTACATTTTCCTGTGCTCAATTTCACCCTATAGAAACTAGTTACATGCTAGCCCATTCCTCTTCAACCCTGCTATTTTTACCATTCAAGCACTTGTGCAAGATTATCTGCTTGAGTCACTTTGGGCTCAGCCTAGGCATATTTATTTATTGTAATCTTTCCTTATAAGTGACCTTGATGCATCTGACTTTTATTTTTATTTATTTGTTTATTTTGGTATTTCACTGAGTTACCTCCATATAATTGATGTCTCATTTTGAGATCTTAATAGCTCTGTGCATTACTTCAGTTGTGGCTTCACCACTGCTATTTACACAATCTATCATCTTAGTAGCAAGCTCTGAACAAGATCAGGTTGGTCCCTGTGATGCTAGGTGCTGTTCAAACCCTTAGTAAAAGAAACTACTAGCCATAAAGAGTTTATGTTCTAAACAAAAAAGACAGACAAAAGGTAGTGTAGAAAAGAGGTACAGAAAGATTAATTTGCCTGCCTATGTTGATAGAGTAGGTCTATGTTAGACATGGGATTTAGAATCTAAGGGTGCCTATACATGAGCAGCGAGGCTACTTCAACGCACTCTAATTACAGCACATTGGAGCAGACTCGATTAATCTGAATGGCAATTACTGCACTCCAACAGCCTTCAGCATCTTGTGTCATGCATCTGATATATGTATATATTGTGATTTTTAATGTTTTTCTTGTTAAGGTTTTCATTTGTTTACACTCCTGAAACAAGTGTATAAACACCATAATATTTCAGTAAAACCATGTCCTGTGCTGCCTCTCTGATCTGCCTAATCTATGACAAGATGTTTCTAGATATGCTTTTCAGGATTTGATTTGTTTGGTTACTTTTTAAAGTCATATCAGATAATGCTCACCAAGAAATTTCTTACATAGAAGTATTCTAGGTACCTGTGCCAGATGTTTTAAGGTATGCTTTCTACGTCTCTAAAATTACTGTAGGAAGTCAGATAGGAAATCATTCAAGGATGTTCTGGGTAGAAGTTGTGCAGGAAAACAAAGACATAAAATTTCTCTGTAGTAGTGATACTTCTTTTCCTCCATGTTCTAACAAAATTCTATGTTCAGTGTTAAAAGAAAGTGATTCCATTTTATATTCTATGTTACATGAAATTGTAAGGATTGTGCAGTACCAAATGCACAACCCCTTTGGGTTCACTACACACATATATATAATAGCAGCATCTAGTGTGGGATACTAGGCATCAGATTTTCCTTAGTGAATAATAATGAATAATAACAAGTACAGTAAAAATTAATAGCAAACAACAAATGAAAATCTTAAAAAGAAAAACATTAAAAATCATAATATATACATATAAACATTATATTAGTCCTTGGTAGCAAACAACCCGCTAATCAATTTTACTGTCCCTAATACTTTTCGTATTCTGAGTCCAATTAGCAGCAGATTGAATCTACCTTCTCTAGAGCCCCTGTATGAATCCAACACGCTTGTGTTATTTTTCTTCCCAGCAGGCAATCAGCATAGGATGCCTGCCTCTCTGGCTGAGAGAAATGTCATCCAAATTTCCCCTCAGCACTGGACAGATTTGTTACCTCGCTGAACCCCGATCAGTCTGTATTTTCAGTAGGACAGTCCATTTCAGTCTACCAAACCTTGCCCTTATTCACAGAGATTTCTCTGAAAACACCCCACTCTAGGACCCAGTTGCTATGCACGCTACAACCTTGTTGCTAGAAGAGAGAAGATTTTTTCTCCACTTGACTTCAGTGGTACCCCCAATATCACTCCCAGCCACTGTCATATTCCCACTGACTAGACCCAAGAGGGTCTCAGTGACCTATGCAAGATGGATGCATTTTGAAACATTCCCTTCTACAGTACAGAGGAGTTACAAAGTCACACCAGAAGTTGATTCATTTTGAACCAACATAAATAGAAGGAATGGAAAATAGCAAAAGCAAGCCACCATGAGGTTATCTATGTAATAACCCCCCTTCTCCCCTCCCCTCTCCAGTTCTGAATGGAAAGTATGTGTTGGCATAACACCCAAAATGGCTGAACAAAAGAATACAGCAAGTGGTCGTTTCATCAATGCACTAGCAATTTATAAATTATTTTCCTTTTCTAAAGAGATGAAAGAGATCAGAATCATGATACATATAATGTTTAGCCTTTCATTTAGAAAAAAAACCTGCATAACATGGGGAAGCCCTACATGCAATGGTTAGCCTGAATTTTTATTCAATGAGATGGAAACATTTGGAAATGGAAGGTCTGATAATTCATGAGGATGTATTGAAATTCTATTGACCCTCTAAGATGACATTTGAAAAGAATACTGAAGAGTTACCAATACCCTATAGATGTCTGAAACTGGGACCTAATATTGGTCTGGTAGTCCAGTATCGTACAACAGGTCAAATCATGCTAGGCAGGCCAAATGGCCAGAAGCTCGCAACTCATAGACTTGTACCAATATGCCAAAATCATCTGGTGAGCGTTGAGATAGAATAGCACCTTGCAGGTGTTCTGGTAGGTTCTTGAGGATTTCAAGAATGCATGGTTTCAGAATAGCTCCATTGTGTGGACTTTCCCAGAGGTGGAGAACCTAGAAATTTCTGTATCCATGGTACTCAAGGACAACCCCAAAATATAGAGCTCTGCATACTTCCAGGGTAAGTGGCTCCTGAAGTACATGGTGCCTGGATTTCCAGGATGTGTGGCATACAGCCAGCAGACTAAAATTCTGGGAAGCTTTTAGGACCCAGAATCAGCTCAATCCCACGTGCAGGGATCAGGGTCCTGCCCTGTCTTGATGTAATACATTTCCGTTGTTATGTAGTTGATAACAATTGACTATACCTCTTTTGGGATCTAGAGAAAGGTTGGACATGGCACACTGTCTATAACTTTTTGATGATTTTTCATCTAGCTGGAATGTTTCTAAAGCACCCTGAGTAGCTAAAAAAATATATCTTTACATCTAATATTTATGCAAGAGGCATCCAGAATGCAACAAAGGTTTATTCAGTTAAAGCTAGGAAACAAAAAAGTTCCCCTTGTTAATCTTTTGATATTTTTAGCTCATAATAAAGTATTAGAATACACTAATGATCTTATATTAAATTGTAAATATACACTCATACATCAAAATTTCCCCATGCAGTAGTACATAAAGGAAAGCAAGAAGGAAGTTAGTTTATTGTTGTTTGTATGGAGCCTTCAGTTATGAATTCAAAATTAAAGACAGTCTAACAAGATTAAATATGATAATTTGTACAGAATAATAGCTAAGGGATTATTTTTGCCCAAGTTTAATAATTTTCTTGTAATGACAACAGATGTCTTTTAAGTGAGCATTTTTAAAAATGTTACAGAAATAGTTGTGGTAGGGTCATTGGTATATTATATTTAGCTTACATAGTGTATACTAATCATTTGACATAATTGACATGCCTTATGATACAACAATAATTTCACAACACTAAAAAAATTATCATGTAATTGTTCCCAATATAAGGTGGTGGTATATGGTTATCCACCTGAAGATTGCTTGTTGTTACATGAGTAATCTCTAACAATCAATTTATAGCCATGTAGTATTTCATGTTAATTAATGCCTGCCCCCCACCAAAAAAACCTGCCACCTTGTATATAATACTATAATACTTGAACTTTTTGAAAACATAAGATGTATGAAAATCAGGTTTTTTTTTCTCATTGTATTTACCTACCATAAAATTTCTGAATTATTAGCAGTGTAAATTTTATCCATTATTGCTACATGTTTATCTTTATTTGCATCTTTAGGTACATTGATTAGTTATGTTGAACATATTTTATAGCATATTAGTTGGAAACATTATGTCTGCCATTACAGTAGCAATAGGGGGTAAAACAGATGGTTCTTTTTTATTTTATGTTCCTAATAAAAATATTAAGTTTGTGTTTTAAATCAGTAATCATTCTCTATCTCTCTTTTTAGGTCTTCATTCCTTTGAAGGAATTGGAGCAGTTTAACTTTGATATACAAAAATTGCTTGAAACACTGGAGGCTGAAATTCAGCAGGGGGTGAATCTGAAAGAGGAAGACTTCCACAAAGATATGGTAAATTGGTTGTGATGGAAGTATTGAATGAACTAGGAATGAAAACTAAAAAAAAAAACCAAAGCAGAAATTAGAAACCTTTGCAGTTGCATTTAAATCATTAGACAGGAGGACTTAAACAAATTCTGTTGTTCTATTGTAAGCTCAGGAAGCTCAGTTTAGCATTTAGCGTGAGAGATGCTTTACTTTTAGTGACATTGTTATGGTTTAGTTTTTGTTTGAAGAAAAACAATTTTGTGGTGATCAGCATGGCAGAGTGAATTCTGAATTTAGGAACTTCAGCTCAATAATCAAGTATGCATTTTTTTTGTGAGGCAGTCCAACATATTAGCTTGTTTTTATAAATGCATTTAAAGATAACTCTATAGCAATTCTGAAATTAGTGGCCGTGTGCATACATTTAAATAACCTGGAAGAATTCTATCAAGTTTGTTCATCTGGTAGAGAAACTTACCCAAAGCTACATATAGAGACTTTTGAATACTGAGGCCCTGAAGAGTTGAGACCTGGCAGTGCTAACACTGTGTAGCCATGGCAGGGGAGCCCTAATACGCACATCTCAGCACACTTTGCAGGCTCCTTTAGTCTGCTTGGCAATAGATGGCAGCAGTTCATAGGGTAACCCTGATTGGTTGATCTAGACTGCCCATGGTCAGCCTGTGTTTCCTTGCAGCATAATGTGGGGATTGTGAAGGGTGTGTGTTCTGCTCCCTGCTGGAGAAGCAGAGTCCAGCAAACAACACCTTATCTCCCTGGGAAGGGAGAAAGGGATGCTGGAAGACTATGTTGTCTTCTGAGAGAAGTCACATAATGTCCAGACATTTGCTTTCCCAGGAGAAAAAGCGTGAACATCTATACAGTGGTGGGTTCTCCTGTGAAAGCCACAACTCTCAGGAAAAACCAAATGTCTGTATGAGGCCAGTGTTAACACATCTGTTTCTTTTAATAGATAACACTCTTTTGAAGGCAGTTCTCATTATAGGTAGCTGTTTTGAAGGCATCAGGGTCACTTTCAGGGCAAATCATCAACTGGCTTAAATTGTTATTGGATCACAATGAGTTTTGAGAATTTATACCAGTTGAGTCTTTGCCCCTTTTTAAATAAAGATGCCTACCTCCTTCTCCAGATAGATTTCAAATCCTGAAGTTCTCAAATTTAGTGGCATAAGGTGACTTTTACCTTTCTGGGCATTTAGGGCATGTCCACACATGCAGGCACGTGCACTTGCAGGAGCTCATATAGGAGCGGCACATATATGAGCCAGGGATTTTTGCCTCAGCGCACATGCCCAGACAAGCACTTTGGTGTGGGGCAAATAGTACCGGTTGGGGCAAATTAACCCTGCCCAGCTCCTCCCAAATCTGCAGCCGGAGGAGATAGAAGTTGGGGCCAGCACCTGTGTATAAAAACCTGCCCTGGCCAGCAGTATAAAAACCTGCCCTGGCCAGCAGCACAGGGCTACTTGCCACCAGGAGCTTAAGAGGCCCATACACATGGTATCTTCAGACACTACCCCTTGTGCTAGCTGGACTGCTGAAGCAGCCCTAACCTGGAGTGCCCCTGCCCCTCTATCCACAGCAACAGTCTGGCAGTGGAGGCTGCTGCCTGGCTGTGACCTGCTGCCACCCATGATAGGATCTTCCCCCTTGGACCTGTGCCACTGCCAGACCCAGATGAGGTGCCCCCACTCTGCCATTTGGGCAGCCCAAATTCTCTCATTAAAATACCCATAATAGTGGTCTTCCACTATTAAAATGAAACACCACCACCACCATAGAAAGGGCAATGTTTTCTTGACATATGTACATGCGTAAATCAATTGCGGGGGGGGCATTGGGGGAATTTGTGGGTGGGTGTAGGGTTTGTGGGGATGAGGTTTGGGGAAGTATGGGGCTTGTGCAGAGGCTTGGGGTTTGTGGCTGACTATGTGGATGAGGGGTTTCTGGGGGTGCCTTGGGGATGTGGGTGTTGTGGGTGGATTGTGGAGGGACTGTGGGTGTGGGGTGCCTGTGTGAGGGGGCTGCTAAGGGGACGTGGGTCCCCTGCCTCCCCACACAGTGCAGTCCCGCCACACAGCACATGGACTGTCCCTCCCGCAAGGCCCACAGCTTACCCCCTACAGGGCCCTCCCCCCACAGGGTCCCATTCCCCCTCCCCCACAGGGTCCCAGCCCCTCCCCACAGGACCCACAACACACCCCCACAGCAGCAGTAGCTGTTAGGTGCTCAGGGCCTGCTGCAGTCAGAGCCCCCAGCGGTTCGGTGTGACCTCTGAGCAAGCACTGCTTGTGCTGCTCATTGCGGGTCCAGCTTGGTATGGTGTGGTGTAGCATGGGGCCATGCACCTTCAGGCATCCCTGCGCCGCTTGCACTGTCACCCAGGGCCCCATGTCATTCACAGGGACCAGGTGTCATACCAGGCCAGGACCTGCCTCCAGCAGCAGCACTCTCAGATCCACCGTGTGTGCAGGGAGGAGGCACGAAGTGGGATCCAGCCTGGCATGGCTTGCTAGCATGCCTTTACACAGGACTGGGCAGTGCAGCTCCGGGGTTTGAGGTTCTTATGCAGAGATGAGCTAGTTGCATGGCCTGTGCCAGATCAGGCCAGTGGGGCACGTTTTCCATGAAGCTTAGGCGGTGATGTGTCATGGTCTGTTGTAGGCACAGTGCTGTGGCCATGTGCCACTGCCTGAGCCTAATGGAATTTTCAGGTACCAAATTTTGAGTCCACACTGGCCATATGCAGTGCAGGGAATGTTTTTTTGTTCCCAGCATGCATCTTGTGGCATCTTAAACTGCTTTGAGATGCCACAAGAGGAATGTGCATGCTAGTCTGGACGCAACCTTAAGGGGCATTTTCAAAGGTGCCTTCTCTAAAAACACTTTTTCTGTCAGAATACTTATTAGAAATTGAGATGATGGTGTTTTAGGACAAAGAAACAAAACATTTTTTCCAGGCCTTCCTTAATTATGCAACTCTAAAGTTTGCATGCTTGATATTATTTTTAAAAACCATTGTATTTTTATTATAGCACACACAAGTGCACATTGGACAATTACTTTCCAAGAGAATATATAGAGGTTTTATGTATATATGTCTCCTAATGTTTTTTTATGTAATGATTAGATAGATTAAAATGCACATTATCATTTAAATTTTTTAAATCAGACTGAAGACAATGAGACTACTGTAAAAGAATTACTGGAAAGGGGAGATATTCTTCAACAAAGAATCACAGATGAGAGAAAGCGAGAGGAAATAAAGATAAAACAACAGCTGTTGCAGACAAAACATAATGCTCTCAAGGTACAGGAGCTAAACTCATGTTTCTAAAATAACATGCCTTTTTTCTTCATTTCAGGGCAGTATTCTGTTAGTATAAATTAAGGCTAATTAGTCTGTTGGTGCCTAAGAAGTGCAACTGAACATACATATTTGCTTCCACATTCCTGATGAAATGTTTTCATCTCTTGACGATTTGGGGATAAAAGTTATTTTAAACATCTGGATTAAAGGGTAAAATGTTATCCCTAGACCACTGCAATTTTACAGACAGATGACTGCTAAATTTCAGACTGTGAGATTCAGTTTGCCTAACAATATTTTTTATGATGCAGCCTACCCTGTGCATTTTTTCCTACAGTATTCCATACGCTCAAGCTCAGATAGAAACATTTCTCACAAATAATATAAAATTTTGTGCTACAGAATTAAATTACTGAACTGAACAGAAATATTTAACCTGCTGGAACTTCATGCCTTAAATTTTGTGTTACTGGTAGTGTATGATTTCAAAGGAACTGCTGTCCCTCACTCTGTTTATAACTATGATAGGATAAGTATGCCTGCCACAAGGTCTAGTACTCAGGTACCTGAAGTCCAATGCTATACATTCAGCTGAGTTCAAGATCACGTTCAGTGATATAGTTTTTTCATGATTAACTATATAAATGACCATACCCTGTCCAGAATTTTAATTAGAACACAGTGGCCACATCTACAACAGATGCTGACTGCACAGTAGCTTGTTACTACTGTGTAGAAGCATCACATGGCACGAAGGATGATGTGATGCTACTGTGCATTAGTAATGAGCCACTGCATAGTCAGTGTCACCAAAAAGCCATTTGGGGATCTACGTGCACTAATGCCAGTTACTACGCAGTCATTTAGTACTTGTGTATGCAAGTACTAAATGACTGCACAGTAACACCTGTGCAGTCAGCATCTCATGTAGACGTGGCCGTTTATGTGGTTCTCTTTTTTTCCATATGGCCCTTGCTCTATCGAGCATGTCACACTGTCATATTATATCACAAGGATTTTTTTTTTTATACTTATGGTAACTTGAAATCAAATCAGTAATAACATTTTCAGTGTTTCAGTGATATGCCATGTAATGACAAAATTCCCTTATAAATAAGGTAACTGAATCTTGATGACTCTTTGAAGAAAATATTCAGTGCCATAAAAAGCAGCTACAGGTTCTATCCAATAGCTTGTTTATCAGATTTATCAGGTTTTATTAGATGTCAGTCAGGGATTAAAGACAAAACTGATCAGATATCCTTTAGCAATTCTTATGTTCTGTTAGTCAACTTCCAAATAGGTGAAATAATTCTAGTTATTTTACTTTTCTCTCCCTCTCTTCCGTTAGCCTTCAGGAAGATGTTTTTGGGCTTGGAAATATGGCACGCTTACATTTAATTATTATTTATATTATTAGCAAAGTAGTGCCTTTGCTTTCCAGGTGGATCTTTTAAATGTTTACAACTGTATGAAATAAGAAAAACAGACACTTGAAGACCCTATTATGTTCTATCCATTTTAGTGAAAAGTTGGAGTTCATAATATTTTCCTTTGAGCAATCCAGGATTTAATTTGTAACTTGTGCTGAGATGAAGATAGAAAGCTATTTGCAGAATTATAATGTATTACCTTTAATTATGATAAAATGGAATTCAGATCCATGTTATTGACCAGATCGTTACTAGCTGTGTTTACAAGGAATGGGGTAATTGATTTTCTTTTGGGTGACTCAATGAAAGCATTCAACCTTGGCAGATAAAGCTCAATGGAATATTGAACAGTTTAAGCCAATTCGAGCTGAGTATTTTCTTACATAAAATTATAGAAAATAAAATAACATTTTTATTTTTTGTTAATGGTAAGTTAGCTATGTACAAATACATAATAAAATACAGTATCCCTTGATTTATACACTTCCTCCTTCAGTAACATTTAAGTAAAAAAAATAATGCTGTGTCACTACATATCCTTGGTAATACTTTATGCTCAAATTACCAAAGTGATACTTTAAAATAACTTCTATTTTTACATAAAGATAGTGTTAGAAATCACCTGTCATAAACATGAAGCAGTTTTCACGTGTAAGCTGACTTTTGCAAAATCTGTTTATATAAAAAATATTTCTGCATTGAAATGGTTTTCTCCTGAGTAACCATTCAGACTGCACAGGCTTTAGTTTCTCAAGATGCTACAAAGTATGGCAAGCTCACCTATGGCTAGATTTAAATTGGGCTGTTTCCTGCTGTCCAGTAAGTATTTTGGAGTATGACTCTCTCAAAATGTTGGCATTTACTTAAAATGTACCTCAGTTTGAGCTGCTTGACTATCAGGGAATTCTTCAACAATTTATGTAGCATGTAAACCAGAGACAACTGTAAAATTTCCCATAATAATCAAAGTAGCTTACAGCAAATGATAAGAATATATATATAGCCTGTATTCAGTTAACTTTTCTACGTGACTGGAACATAAATGTCATAATCGAGTTTAAAAAAATCAGGTAATTGTTATAAGCATTTTTTACTTATTTTCTGCAACATATACTCATGCCAGTGTGTATATTGTAAGTCTTTTAATGATATTCTAATAATGTCTGCACTGTGAACAGGATTTAAGGTCTCAAAGAAGAAAAAAGGCTTTAGAGATTTCTCCTCATTGGTATCAGTACAAGAGGCAGGCTGATGACCTAATGAAATGTTTGGATGACATTGAGAAAAAATTAGCCAGTCTACCAGAACCCAAAGATGAACAGAAGCTAAAGGTAATGTTGTTTTGGGATGACAATGGTAGATCTTTGAGACACTATTTTAATAATTTTAAATACAGCAAATATACCAATTCCTTTTATATATGTGTATATATAGATATATATACATAACAATGCAGTACATCATTTTTGTGTCTTATTGAATAAATATTGCTAGTCCTTGTTCAAACTAATATATTTCTTTGTTGTATTTTGTTTGTTGTATTCTTGTAAATCTTATATGGGATGTTATAAAAATTATAATTAATACTGTAAATATTTTTTGTTAATAATGTGGAAAGCGTGCACTGTATTAAGAAACTTCAAATGTTTTCTAGTAAAAATTGTAATTGACTTTATGTATCTTTGTTCCAGATGAACAAATGACTTATCGGTATATGGATGACCACTCTCTCATGTTAGCACATTCATTTTCATCAGAACATATTCATACATCATTGTCAAAACTCAAAATATTTATTTACATGATATCAAAAGATTTTTATGATTTATTTAGCATTGGCTTTCTTTGCTTCATTCTCTGAGTTTCTCACAAAGTTAAAGAGGAGTTAATATATTCACACACTCTCTAAACACTGATCGTACATAATATGTTACCCTAATAGATAATGATATCTCCAGTTGCCCTTCACAAAACACTAGAGAGAACTAGGAGAAAAATTGTTGGCCTTTGTTGAATAATTTTAAGAATACACTAGTTATCAATATCTTTAATGACAATTTGCCTGAAGATTCTTTAATCTCAGTTTTGTTTTGTCTAAATGTAAAATAAGACTTGAAACAACTGTACTTTTGCTATTGTAACAATAAAGTGGAAAATCTTTGAAATTACAGTTTTGACATTTTTGCTAATTCTAAGTTGATTGATCTAGTTAGCTAACTGCCCTGGGCCCTGTATTGGTTTTGCTCACTAGGAAATTGATGGAGAATTGGAGAAGAAGAAAGAAGAACTGAATGCGGTGCACAGGCAAGCTGAACGCTTGTCTAAGGATGGGGCTGCAAAAGCAGTGGAGCCAACCCTGATACAGCTCAGCAAGCGCTGGCGAGATATTGAGAGCAAATTTGCTCAGTTTCGAAGACTCAACTATGCACAAATTGTGAGTTGTTACTGGCAAACCTATATGTTTGCAACTACTACTACTAACAGCATCCTACTAACAGAGTTCCAGGTGCAATACCAAGTCCACAAATTTAAAAAAAAATCTATTGTCAACAAATGGGAAATTTTATATTCCAATAAAATAAGGCTCTTGTTTTCCATTTAGTTTTAAAATTGCCCTTTAATAAAACTAATTACAGAAAACTCAGCAATGAAAACACATGTTTATTTTGTTGCCTCATTCTTTTCCCATAACATTACCAGTTTAAATGTGTCAGTTTACCATGCATTTATTTTTTCAATAAACATGTGTACTTCGAAAAAATGTATTCTTTTCAAACTACACTACCATCCCATGCAAATTTTAATTCCATTTTTTATGTATTCATAATGAATAGTATACATATCTAGGAAGAGATTGCAAGATTTCTTCTTATACTACTTGTGTTTGGCTACCTCTTCAAATACTTCAAGTCTTAAAAGAAGATTTTAATCAGAAGTTGTTTTTGTTGATTGACAGGGTAGAAGCATCTGTGCTATAGCAAGATCTTAATTATATACAGGGAATAATGATTATTAATTGTTTATCTTTATTAGATGATAGAGGGGAACATCAGTTGTCACTATTTTAGATACATATACAAAATGGATACTATGAAATATACTTATTTTAACCATTTTTTAATATTCACAATGTTCTATTTTTTTCATTTTCTCTCAATATGGAAAATTAATCTCATTAATATAATTGGTGATACCAAATACAGTTTTGGCATCTTGTAGTTTTGAGGAATGTTAGGGTCCTCCTACATGTTCACATTAAATCTGGATAGAAAACAGCTATAGAGTTGTTACACATTTTCAAGCACTAACTTTATAAGTGGTTGGCATTATTTTATAGCTGGCTAATTCATTTTATTGTGTGATAATTACTTTGCATGTGTGGCTGGTCTTAATTTATTGCACAGTTGACCAGCAGAATGATATGTAACATGTAGCAGGGGACCCAGTGGTAAACAGATGTTTCTAGAAAAATTCTTACGTGGACATTTTTGCTTCAGTATTGGCATAGCAGATATGTTACACCTACAGGACAATAATGTATTTCCATTAAAACATGCTTCATATTATACAAATATTCAACAAGATTTTAAAAAAGCTTGGTCCAGCAAATAAGCTTTTGACTCAAAAAGTCTCTTCTTCAATGCACTAATTTTCTCAAAATGTGCCTTTTTTTAAACAGTTAAAAGTAAGAATAGCATTCAGCATATTTGTGCATTCATAAAAGTTAAGAAATAATGTGTGCATCTACACAAGATGCTACATTGCCATACCAACAAGCTATGGTAATGTTGCATCAGTGGGCACAAACTGTGACACTGACACTACTACGCAGTAGCAAGGAGCTACTGTGCAGTAGCTTGTTGCTACTACATGGTACGGTCGGAAATGAGCCATGCGTTGCCGGGAGTGTGTAGTAACAGTGGATACTGTGCAGTAATTCAGTACTAAAGCAAGTACTAAATGACTGTGCAGTAACAACTACTCAGTTGGGTGCAAGTGTAGATATGCCCCCTGGAATTGGGTTATTTGTTACTAAATTTTGTTCCAGACGATTACTCCTTTCAGTTTATTCTGACATTGAGCTAGATGATTGTGAGAAAATGCATATTATTAAAATTTGTATTCTGCTAAGGAAAGATTCACCCGGTTTTCCAAAATGATCTTTTTTTTCCTAATGGATATGAGTATGTTTGTGTCATTAATAACACAATGGGTGATAAGGGTGTACATTTTCTTCACATAGAAATATTCTGATTGAGTTGTGCTTTGTATGTAATTTATTACACACTGTGACAGAGAATTTGTATGTACTTTTAAAACTGTATCAACAAATCAATAAAAGTGGTATTTTTTCTGCTTGAAAATATGGAAAAGTAGATAATCAGGAAATAAGACATAATAATGCATATAGTTTATACAATCTATTTTCAGTGACTTTCTAAGTTTTAACATGCATTCATTATATTGCCTATCACTATATTTTAAAAATATGTCTCATTCAAGAAATGCTAATATTTGTCTGAATGAATTCAATCACTATTCAATGGATTTTCATATGTACAAAACAATTGCTTCCCATATTTTGTGAATGATACTTTGCTATGTTTATGACTATGGCAGCAACCATGCAAAATTTGACTAGAATTTTATTATAGGTATCAAACCTGATGACAGTCAACATAAACTACTAGATTAAGTTTGAGACTAGAGTGAAACTTTTGTAATCAGTCCAAGCTCTGGCTTTGACATCGTCTCATTGCAACTGGCTTGACCAGTCTTTGATTCAACTACCCTTTAAAAAGAAAACCAAAAACAAGATAATATTTACCTACCTCGCAGGGTTGTTGCGAGAATTAATTGATTAATGTTTGTACAACTCTTTAAAATTCAGAAAAAAACAAAACTGCTTTACTCAAACTGTTCATTAAAATGAAAGACCTGCACAAAAAAAAGTCCTGAGTTACTCTTCACATTATCAACCAACCAAGTAAAACCAGCAGTAACCCAAATACCTAAAGGGAAAAGATTAAATAATAAATATGCCCGTTAGAAACTGTCAGTGAGATTCTGTTAACAACAGATGATGCACACATAAACAGTTGCAAATGGGATATTATAAAGCAGTAAAGGCTTACTTGTACAGTAAAAGTGCTGCCAAGGTAGTCAATCCTGGAACTTCAGTATGAACACAGTGCATATATAGAGAGAGAGAGAGATGAGGAAGATACAAATCTGCGTGATCGTCCTTTAGAACGCTTGAGAGCGTCTTAGTTGAAAGAACTAGGAAGGAACTTCTCAGAACTTCTGTATTGTGCTAAGCAGATTTAGTATATATTAATATCAAATTAGAATAACCTTGTTCCTTTGAACCAATCTCACTGCAACTCTGTCAGGGAAATGCCAGCCAAAATATTATTGTGTTTATTAATCAGAGAAGTAACATTTGCTATCTTTTCTCTATTTATCAGTATGCTTATATATTGTCTCATTACTTTTAACAATGACATATAATGTACTCAAATCATGCAAAAAGAGGAGTACAGCCATTTTACCTCCCACTAATGCCAGAAGAGTTCCATATAGTCTTGCAACAACCTATACATTTCATAGTCTCTTTAATGTGAGTTTGACAATTTATAAATAAAAATTGCCTGGTGCATTAACTAAAGTGTTTTAGAGAGGAAATGACAACTATAGGCCACTTATTCTGCAATGGGATATTAATATGGATATGTTGAAATAACAGATTACACAGATACAACAGACAGCAGAACTACACAAATTGTGGAATCACTGGGAGTGATGGGGAGATATCAACAGGAGAGTAAAAAGTTGAGGAGGATATGTCATTTTAACTCCCAGCCCAGTTATTGTGCATACATAGTAAAAGTAACACAGCCGTCCAAATTCTGTTGTTGGAAGTCAATACTTTCAGACTGGAAAGTGCACATCTGAGGACATTTTTAGCTCCCTGTGTTTAAAAATTTCAATATTATTCAGTCCTATGTCTGCCAGGCAAATTAGAAATTTGAAAAGCTTGATGAATATTGGAAAATAGAGAATTACGGTCTGGTTTTAATGATCTGTATATCTACAAAATCTGCTGAATTTAAAAGATACCGGTGCTTTAGACCATTGCAAATTAGGGTCTCAATAGTATTCGTTGTCCACTTTGTGAAGTAGAATTCTGCCCTAAGATCAGTCAGCAATTGGCTTAATGTTATAAAACCAGGAATGAAAATGCACTGTTTTATTTATTATTATTACTGCTTAATTATTCTTGTGTGCCAACACAACCCCAGTTTCCTAATGCAGTTTTTAAATGCCAAAAATTCTGATCTCTGATGTATATTCAAATTTCCCATAGAAGTGATTTCTTGGCCTAAATGTATATTCAACAGTTCATTTTCTTAGCTATTTGTATTAATTGATATTCTAGAAAAAAAATTCCACAAAACAGTAAATAGGTAATTTTTTATAGTTTATCAATTACTTTTCAACCATTTTGACAGCAACATATAATATCTGCTATGAATAGTATGAGTATATTATAATCTATGCCTATAAAATAGAAAGCTGTTAGTCTGGAGTTATACTGGTATGCAAGAGACCTTTCTTTTAGATGTGTAAGAAAATATAAGAATGATTGAAAATAGCAAAATAAACACTCGCACTTTGAAGTACACATTAATTGCTCTTTATGAAAGGTAACAATCACGTCTAATATTGTCTGATATTAAAGTTTCTAGATGGCAATTTTTCCTTCATGCCAGTTAGTCCTTAAGTTACAAGACAATATTTCACAATACTTTTCTTCTAATTAAATTAGCCTTAAATAACACTGAATTCTGTGGGAGTTTTTCAAACTGCCTTGTGGGCTTGCGTATGGCATTGATCAATGTAAAGCATACTGTGCCAGCTGTGAAGGCAAATGTCACTGAAGATTTACAATGTGAAAAAATATTTTCAGAGCAGGTGAATAAAGAGATTTTTTTTTAAGTTATCCACTTTTCGTTTTGCTATTAAGTACATTTTTGTCCCTGCTTTGTGAAATGTAATGCCTTTAGAAAGCTGTCAATTTAACATAATAGTTTCATGACTAATTTATAAAAATATATTTCTATATGAAAATATTAATTTGGTTTCTTAGCATACTTTGTCAGTCCACTCATTTATGATTTGTGCATTTGATATCCTTTCTCTAATGTGACACTTCCCTAATTGGATTCTCAGTTTATTGTTGTCAATATACATTGCACAATATTTATGCCAAATTTATCACAAATTAAAGAGCTATGGTGAATGGAAGGAAAGGAACTCTTAATCCATTAAGAGTAGAGTAGGAGGAGGCAACTCAGTCTTTCCCTTTAGGTACTCAGATCTCTTTAATCTAGAGTCATACCAAGGCAACTCTCTGTCTCGGACATTACAGTG